GGTGGGGGGTGGGGGGTTATCAAGGGTTCGTTCAACTGCTTGCGGGTAGCTTTATTAAGGGTACTTAAGTTTAGAAAACTTAGTTCTACTTCCTGTTGGTAGCGGGGTGTTTTATGTGGTGTCTTGTTATGGAATATTATTTTATCACTGGATCTATTATTATCAGGCATTATGAACAAGAAGCGATTAGGCCTCCAGCCATTTCTAGCTCGTTAACTTTATTCGCATAAACAGCCCCAACTAGGCCTAGGCCTACCGAAACAACGGTGACTACAGTAGAGTAGAAACAGCAAGAACAATAGTAGCAGCAGTAGCCACAATAACGAAAACTTCCACGACAACAGCAGAGATCTAGATCTATACAAAATAATACGTTCTTTTGTATTTTCAAAACATACATGTATCTCTGCAAGTTGGTGAATACACTAGTGTAATTATTATTTATTATAATTTGATCCAATTTTAAGTTACTTGAAAGATCTGCCTCCGTCTGTTTGTCTTCTTTTCTGTCTGTCTGTCTGTCTGTCTGTCTATCGGTTGTGGGTCTGTCTACCTCTACCTGTTTGTCTTTCTAATCTATCTGTCTGTCTCTGTGTCTGTATGTATGTATGTATGTTATGCATGTCTGTTTATCTATGACCGCCGCTTGTCTGTCTATATTATAACTGACGGTCTATCAGAATGTCTATTAAAGCTGTCTGTCTGTTTGTCTGTCTATCTGTATGTCTGTCTGTGGAAAATAGAACCAGGTTTTTGTCCCACTATTATTATTGTCTGATTGTAAAGTTATAAAAATTTCTGGGGCCTGCTTTTTGTCGGTGTAGCTGACGGACGTTCGACGTTCCGTTACTCTTATCGATTTTAGACCACCAAGGGATCTTTAACTTGGGCAATTTGCACATGAGACCTCCAAGATTTTTCGCCTTATCCTGGAAGGCTAGGTGTAGATCTTTCAGGACTACCAGAAGATCAGGGGTGTGGCTGAAAGACAGCATAGAAGGAGCCAAGGAGAATCAGTTAGAAAGGCTGCAGGAAGAGTCAATCTAAGAGCCCAGATGAAGGGGCAAGGGAGATGAGGGGGTGGGGGCAGAAAGTGGAGACGGAAACAGACGACAGAACATTGCTAGAGAGCAGGAAAGGTGGTGAAAGGAGAAGATTTTACAGAAGAAAATTTTTCGGTCGCTATCCAGATTTGAACCAGCAGGGACCTTTGAATGAGAGGGGAACACCTTAACCTCTAGGCCACGGTGAACAAAAAGTTTGACTCGTCTAAATTCGTTACTAGATCTAGATCTGCATATATGTATTTTAAGAAGGTGAATTAATGGGACTGGGACCAATTGATGCACCTCATCAAATTTTACAAAATACTAGATTTATTGTATATTTTCGAAATTTTGACATACGACTGTGTTAAATGACGGCCATGAAAATAGTCTCGGCATGATGGTGACAATCACATTTAGTAAGTCAGTGATATAATGTTGTATCTTGTTGCTTTTAATTTTTATCAGTAGCCTTTCTTGATAACGATAGCCTAGTGCGTCATGTGTGTGTGTGGGGGGGGGGGGTTGTTTAAGTGCGCAGTCTGTTTTCTGTCGCTGTCCTGGATTAACTGCTTTTGTTTGTTGTTTTGGGGTTTGTTTTGGTTTTTTTGTTTTTCAAACGAGCTAATCAATAACTGGCGGTGCTGTGATCCTATTGCGAACGAGCAGCGCATTTATGTGGCAACAGCTTGAGGTTGTTAATGTCATTGCTTGTGCCCCCATCCTCCGCGCACAAGGACGTACGTGTATCTCTCAGTACTGGTAGCTTCTGGGTTGGTTGTTTTTTTGGCTGTTTTTTTTTTTAAATGACGAGTCCGCATGCCCACTCGTCATTGCTTTCCGTGAGCTGAGGCTGCGGCTTGTCTATAACTTGTGCTCAGCAATTGGGAAATTGTGCATG